TCTCATAAAGTCCTTAAAGACCAAAAGTTAGAGAAAAATTATACCATCGGAATCAAACAAGACATCGCCACAGCCAACACAAAATTAGCCACGAGAGTCTAAGAATGAGATGCAGCCCTGACCGCAAAACACTATTGGAGGCGCCTATATGAGGAAATTAAAACAAATAAGCAAGAAGCTTTGAGAAGATTGCGTGTCGCCCAAGTCAAAATCAATGACATAGAATAACAAAAGGAAGAGGTAGTTGTTGCATGTGAGCTACAAATCAACAAAGAACACTGGCAATTGATAGAATAGGAAAGCATCACAGAACATTGGAGGAAATATTTCTCCCGTGGCTTCCTTGGCTAACGGGGCAATTGACAATGTCCCTAGAATGTTGTCTAACATTGAATGAATGATGCAAGTATTCAAAACGCCTAAGGAGATCAATATCTTTATCAATCATTGCACATGGTTGGTGAGAGAAATGAAGTAGATGATCAGTGCTAGGAAGTATTGATGTATTGAACCTTGAATTTTGCTAGAAAGAATAAAATTACTTTACATTGTTTTGACTCTATATTAATTTCCTTCATCTACGTAGCTAAAACACAATGATACTTGTTTAATACCACAATTTTCCACCAAATTCATTTTTTTTCTTTATTTATTCTTTTTCATTTTTCTTTTTTGCATTCATCTCGCTTACTCATTTATTCATATTTTAACACATAAGAAAAAAGGTAAAGTGTGCAGGAAATAATCACGACACCCTCGTAGGACTCCAACCAACCAAAAGATCATGGAAGAGTGTTAAGGAACTCAAGAAGCAATGAAAGCTCATATCACTCAACTAAAGGACAAGTTGAGCCAAATTATAGAAACACTCAAGAATTTGAAGATCATTAAGGAAGCCCTTGTTACTGAAAACAAAGAGGGAACTTCATCTTATCTTTCATACTTCTACTTTGGGTTACTGAGGTCACAAAAGGGTAATACTCAAGTGAACATAACCAACTTTACTGCATACTATCACGTCATCAGGGACAAAAAGAGGTAAAATGACAACCCTTTCCTCTGTATGGTCTCCCACCAGGTTATACTCCACCAACTGAGGAATACCTTAGTGGAGATCAAGCTCTTTCTACTACCAATCGCACAAACACAAGCTTACCTCAAGTGAATGTGTCAGGAGTTGTCAGGTAGCCAAGGGCTTTGCATATGACAACAAGAGGGGAATCTCAAATGAAACCTTCACCCTACCCTATTATAGCTGAAGATGTTGGTGCTAAAGGGAAGCTTGAAATCCTTGGAGATTAAGGGCCATAAAAGGAGGAGGAAATCACGGTTTTGGACACGCAACAGGATTATGCCTAGTCCATAATGTGGCAATACTCTAAAGTTCAAAGTGCCAAAATTTGAAAAATACAAAGGAACCACCTGTCCAATGAACCATCTAACCATGTATTGTAGAAAGATGGCCTGCATGATATAAAATGTTAATTCATTTCTTTCAAGATAGTCTAGCAGGTGTGGCTCTGAATTGGTACATGCATCTCAAACCTACTCATATCCGCTTTTGGAGAGATTTAGTGGATGGCTTTTTGAAACAGTATAAGTATGCTTTTAAGGAATATGCTTAACAATGTAGAGGAAGTTGTCGTTCAAGTAGAACCTCCGTCACATAACAAAGAGATGGTAGCTATGTTCATAGACACTCTTTTTATGATCATATGATAAGCAACACATCTTCAAAATTCTCAGATGTTGTCATAATTGAAGAAAGATTAGAGATTGATCTAAAAAGTGGTAAAATTGCACTTGGTCCATCTGCGGGTTCAAGTGCAAAGAAATCAGGATTTAATTCTGCAAAGAAGAAAAAGGCAGAAGTCCATGCAACATCCATTACACCAACATGGACAAATCCAATTCATTATGGACAACCCTATTTCCACCCCATAGTTCAATTCCCCTATGTCACCAATACTTACCACTCCCAACTTTACCAACCTGGAACGTCATCCCAATGACAAGAAAACCATCAAACACAGTCCACCTACATCCTAACGTCACCACCTAACCAAACATGGAAATCTAACCCCAACCAGAACCCTGGCCAAAATCTCAACCAAAAAGAGAATTTTAATCAGGAGATTGGAAATTTGAAAGCTTCGCACCCATCCACATGACATATACTGAAATATTTCCAAACCTTCTTTGCAATGCATTGGTGGATGTTTGCCCATTGATACCATTACAACCTCTGTCCAAAAAGTTATGATGCAAATGTCAAATGCGACTATCATGGTGGAGCCATTAGTCATTCCACCGAGAGATGCTTAGCTCTCAAATGTAAAGTACAACCACTAATTGATTCGGGGTGGCTGAGTTTCAAAGAAGATAACCCAATGTCGAAGAGAACCCTTTAGTAGGACATGGCGATGCCTATTCTAAAGTCATGGGTAAAGAGAATGGGTACCAGTTAATAAGAGGGGTACAAGATGATAAAACTCCTATGAGATTTGTGTTTGATGAGTTACGCCAAGTACGAGCTTATAAAAGGCGAAGTCAATGAGAAAGATAAGTGTGGCCTTTATCCCGAAGCACAACACTCCATCGAAAAATGTGAAGAATTCAAAGGAAAGTTACAAAAACTAATGGATAGGCACTTAGTGCAGATTAGTTAATAGAGAGAAGAGGCGGAAGTGTTAATGCAGTCTACTAAGGAAGCAAAGCTTGTTGTGCCTGCGCGCCATTAGTGATTCACTTCACTACGAACAAATCTCCACTTATACCCCAAGGACGACAACCCCTTATGATACAAGCACCCTCCCCATTTCCTTACAAGAATAACAAAGCAGCTTCATGGAGATATAGTGCACAAGAAATGAATAGGGAAAAATAAGGACTCAGAGTAGAGTTTCTAATGTTGACACCTCAACCATCAACAACATCTCTGACATAGGCAACGTATCCAGAAGTGATTATTTCTCTATACCACCTAAATGGTTGAATGAGACAACTTATAAAGGAAAGGGAAGAGATGAGGAACTTATGACTGAAGTGGCAAAGAAGTTTCTGAAACGAAAAACTGTACAAATTGATGAAGCCCTTAAGAAGGAGGTAGAATCAACAAGAAAAGAGATATCCGACGGAGAAGCATGTAAGTTTCTTAAATTTATCTAGCAAAGTGATTATAAGGTGGTCGATCAACATCACATGCTAGCAAGAATCTCACTAATGGAGTTGTTAATGAATTTTATGACTCATAGGAAGTTGTTAATGAAAATCTTGAGTGAAGCTCATGTAGAACAAGACATATCCCTTGATAAGTTTGGAGGAAAATATGGTTGGAAATATTTCTGCCAACAATTATCTTATATTCACAGATGACGAAACCCCGAGTAAGGGAAGGGGATATAACAAAGCTCTTCACATCTCTGTTAAATATTGTGATTATTCTATTGCATGAGTGGTCGTAGATAATGGCTCCTCACTAAATGTCATGCCCAAAAGTACCTTAGAGAAACTGTCTTGTGATGGAACATACATGCGACCAAGCTCTACGGTAGTGAGGTAATTTGATGGGAGCCGAAGAGATGTGGTTGGAGAAATTGAATTGCCCATTGAAATAGGTCCCTGTGTTTTTCATATTGTTTCAAGTTATGGACATTTCCCCTGCTTACCATTGTTTATTAGGTCGATGTTGGATCCATTTGGCTGTGGTGATACCTTCCACTTTGCATCAAAAAATGAAATTTGTAATGGGGGATAAGTTGATTATCGTCTACACGGAAGAACATTTGATAGTAAGTGACCTATCATACTCCCCAATACATTGATGTCACTGAAGAAGCATTGGAGACCTCTTTCCAAGCCTTAGAAATTGTCAGCACCACTTAGGTTGAACTAATCCCTAGAAAGCCTCATTTATCAGATGCAATCATAATGACCTCTTTCCAAGCCTTAGAAATTGTCAGCACCACTTAGGTTGAACTAATCCCTAGAAAGCCTCATTTATCAGATGCAATCATAATGATGGCTAAAGTCATGTTGAAGGGAGGATAAGCCTGGCTATGGCTTGGGAAAGAACGGTGTAGGTTTTTCATATTTTTTAGAAGTTTTAGAAAACAAAGGCAGATATGGCTTGGGGTATGAACCGACTAGAGAAGATAAATGAAGAATCATGGAGAAAAAAATAGAAAAGAATATGAGGATAAGAAGAATTCACATTTGTGACATCAAATAGTGTCCGAAGTGCAGGGTGGATTAAATTCGACCAAGTGGCAACTGTCGAAGGAGAATCTAACGAAAAAAGTCTAAGTTTTGTGCGTCCATTGAACGATCCATGGTGTTTAATTATGATGAAATATTGTTTTTTTCATATTCTCGGGCTCTACCCAGGGCCTTGGGATCTTGTCACGGACAAACATTTATTTCCATTTCAAATTAATCAATACATTGAATTTTATTCCATCGTCATATCCTTACTCCATCTATATTAGCATATTTATTTCTAACCTTGAATAATGCAAATCCAGTGCCCATATTCCTTACCTAGACAACACAAAAGACAATTATGATGAGGATTGGGAACCTTCTCCTAAACTTCTAAGGTTAATGGTGAGGATTGGGAACCTTCTATTATGATGAGGATTGGGAACCTTCTCCTAAACTTCTAAAGAGATAAAACCACATCAGGAAGTAATAGAGATAATCAATTTGGAAAATAAGGAAGAACAAAAAGAAATTAAGATCGGCACCAGTATAACAACTAAGATACATATGAAGCTGATTAATTTGCAACAGGAGTTTACTAATGTCTTTGCTTGGTCTTATCAGGATATGTTGAGGCTAGAACCCAATATAGTGCAGCACAAGATCCCATTAAAAGCAGAGTGTACCCTAGTTAGACAGAAATTGAGAACAATGAAACTGGAAATGACCTAAACAATCAAAGATGAAGTGAAGAAGCAGTTTGACCCTGGTTTTCTAATAGTAACGAAGTATTCTCAATGGGTTGCTAACATTGTCCACATCCCAAGAAAGATGGAAAAGTCTTAATGTGTGAATTATCGAGATTTAAATCGAGCTAGTCCTAAAGATAACTTCCCTTTACCATATATCGACACCCTAGTTGATAACACTGTCCAATTTTCACTCTTCTCTTTTATGGACGACTTCTCTGGTTATAATCAAATTAAGATGGCACCTGAAGATATGGAGAAGACAACCTTTATCACTTTATGGGAAACATGTTGCTACAAGATAATGTCGTTCGATCAAAAAATGCTAAAGCAACTTATCAACAGGCCATTGTGACTTTGTTCCACGGCATGATACAAAAAGAAATTGAAGTTTATGTAGATGACATGATTGTCAAATCTAGAATAGAAGATGAACATCTATAAATCTACAAAAGTTATTTGAGAGGTTAAGGAAGTTCAAACTCTGACTAAATCCAGCTAAATGTAATTTCAGTATGAGATCTAGAAAATTATTGGGGTTTATGGTAAGCCAAAAAGGAATAGAGGTCGACCCAAACAAGATACGAACAATTATAGAGATGTCAGTATCTCACATAGAAAAAGATGATGGGACAAGGTGATGGGTTGTATTTTAGGCCAACACAATGAAATAGGAAAAAATGAGCATGTTATTTATTACTTAAGCAAGAAATCCACAAGTTGCGAGCAAAGATACTCCTTATTAGAGCAGACTTGTTATGCATTGGCATGGGCAACTCACCAGTTAAGGCAATACATGTTAAGTCATACCACGTGGTTGGGATCCAAAATGGACCCTATTAAGTACATATTTGAAAAATCAGCCCTCAATGGTAGGATAGCTCGATGGAAAATGTTACTATCAGAATACAATATTTTGTATGTTACTCAAAAAGCCATCAAAGGCAGTGTTCTCTAACAAAATATCTAGCTCATCAACCTATTCTAGATTACCAACCCATGCAACCCGATGAAGACATTTTGGCTTTATTTGGCACAGATAAAAATAATTATAACAACAACAAATGGACATTATTCTTTGATGGGGCCTCAAATGCACTAGGACACAAAATTGGAGCAGTGCTCATATCTTTAGAAAACAAATACATACCAATAACAGCCAGGTTGTGCTTCAACTACGCCAACAACATCGCTTAATATGAAGCTTGTGTCATGGGTATCTGCACAACAATTGAATCAAAGGAAAACGTTTTAGAATTATATGGGGACTCAATATTGGTCATCCATCAATTGAATGGAGAATGGGAAACTAGAGATCATCCTTATCAAGCATACGTTAAAGGTTTAACAAAATATTTTGATACTATTGTATTCTAGCATATTTTGAGAGAAGATAATCAAATGGCTAATGCCCTAGGCACCCCGTCATCAATGTTCGAGTTAAATCGAGATGAAGAATTACCACTCATAAAAATGGAGAGTTATGAACAACCTACCTAATGCCATCTAATTGAAGAAGAAATAGACAATAAGCCTTGGTATTTTGATATTAAACGTTACCTCAAAGATCGAGAATATCCTAAAACAACATCCAAATACGATAAGAGGGCTTTGATAAGGCTACCCTCAAGTTTTATATTGAATGGAGATGTTCTCTACAAAAGATATCACGATATGGTACTCCTTAGATGCTTGGATGCAAAAGAAGTTGAGCAAATTCTAAAATAAATCCATGAGGGGTCCTTTGGAACACACATGAATGGGCATGCCATGGCTAGAAAAATCTTGAGGGCTGGCTACTTTTGGTTATCTTTGGAAAAGGAATGTTGTATTCATGTGCGAAAATGTCATAAGTGTCAGGCATATGCAGACAATATTAATGCACCTGTTGAACTGAACGTCCTAACAATGTGATGGCCTTTCTCAATGTGGGGAATAAATGTTATTGGAACTATTGAGCCAAAAGCATAAAATAGGCATTGTTTCATTTTAGTGGCAATCGATTATTTTACCAAGTAATGTCACGAGGAGTGTAGATGCAGGCATTCTTCACTCTTTCTGGAGTACGGCATGAGGAAATAATTCGCCGTATATCTGATGTAGATGATAAAGTGTGCCATTTAGAAAATAGATTTGATGCACACTTTCATAGTGATGATAGTGAAGAATTTTAAATTTGATTGTTAATTTTTTTTCTTATATTGTAATGAATGCTTATTTCTGAAATAAAATGTGGTGTTCTTTTATTGCTTTGATTGAGGGGGAGTTATCTCCAAGTTATGCATATTTTGAGGGGAAGCCCTTATGATTGTTATTGAAGCATGCTTTCAATTTTTTATTATAATCAAAATAGGGGGAGAAATATTTAAAGCCTAATATTATTGTTTTTAAATATTATCTAGTATGTTTAATGTGTTTGTTAGTATGATAGATAAAACAGGTTATTACAAGGCTTTAAAAGAAAATTTTGATCATAATCAAAAAGGGGGAGATTGTTGAATATTCAAGGACTTGATGTTAGACTTGATGGACATGAAGCTTGTTGATTTTGATGATGCTTCAAGAACACAAGAATGTAGAGAGTTGAAGACTTGTTTTATATTGTAATAACTCTGTTTTGATTAGATTGAGTCTGTAATATTAGAGTTTGAGATAGCCGGTACATAGTCTGCACCTTAGAAGCTTCAAAAAGCTCAATTTTATCAAAGTGCCTCGGCTTTAATGGATTAAATGGTGAAATAATCACCATTTAATCGATTAAAACAGTGAGAAAAATCATTTTTTGTATCTGCTCATTGGTTTAATCGATTAACACACATGTTAATCGATTAACAGGCCTGGTAATCGATTAACAGGTCTTTTAATCGATTAAAACAGAGAGTTTTGGGGTTCTATTGATTTTGGCTCTGTAATAATCGATTAACACTTCATTTAATCGATTATTTCAGTCAGATTTTGATTTTTAACTTCAAATCAACCCTATTTTTGAAAACCCTATTTCCAAGACTCCTAGTTTCGAAAATCCCAATTCCCAAACCCTAATTTCTCTACTTAAGCTTCTCTATGGCACTCAGAAAAGAAGAACAACCTTTTTCATACAAAAGTTAAGTGTTGTGAGTGCCATAGAACTGTTTGTTGCAAGAAAAAGGGGCTTTTGGAACCTGGTGTGGGCTAAAAGCGATAAGAATCACTAAGTGGAGTTCTTAGTGGATTGTGTGTTGTGCCGTCTCTAGGGAAAGTTGTTCTTCATCTCTTGTGGATTTCAAGAGAGGTGTTTTCTTTACTTTATCTTTTCCATTGTAATCTGTTTGTAACAACTGTGATTATAGTGACAGCGTTAATCCTCTGTTTGAGTGATTAGCAACTGGACGTAGGGTCTTTTGATCCGAACCAGTATAAATCTCCTGTGTAAGATTCTATCTCTACTCTATTTATATTTACACAGTTTTTAATCGGTAAAATTTGGGGAAATTTTTGAAAACCTAATTTTTGTTAAGAAACCAATTCACCCCCCCTCTTGGTTTTTTGTCCGACCACGCGAACATTCCGCTGTGCGATTCTAACAGGGAGCGCTCACTATTTATAGGGATTTGCGCCTGTCAGGTCGAGATGGTCATCTCGACTAACAAGGTCGAGATGACCGTCTCGCCATTTGGGATGGCGGTCTCGACTTGCAAAAGTGGCGAGACCACCGTCTCGGTATCGAATTTTCTAGTGACAATAAGGCCTTCTCGGGTCTCGCCATTGGCAAGTGGCGAGACGGCTGTCTCGCCAAACGAGATGGCGGTCTCGACTTGCATCAATGGCC